AGAAAACTAGGGATGAGAAAAAAAATACTGATGGGAAATAAACTGAGAATTAGTAAAGAAAGTGGAGCACAGTGAAGTGACTATGACAGTGAAAACTATAGGGGCTGGATCAGGAAAAGAGGGAACAAAATATTCCATTCCAGGGCGATCAGAGGTACATAATGTAATAGAGTTCTAATCCTAACTCCTCACCTCTTTCAATATGCAATGTGCTAATATACATAGATTTGTTTTCTAGGTCATCTCTGACAAGAAGCCTGGATATAATGTCAAAGATTTATTTTTAGCTAGATCCTCTTGGCTTCAAAGGAATAATTCAAATACTCTCAATACATTTATTTTGAGCACTTTTCACCAACACCCTTTCCAGGGCTCTAAAGTCAAAGTCGATATTATTTTTCTATCATTTTTTTCTGTTATTATGCCAAATGTAACTGTCACTTTTTATTGGAACGTCAGAATCAGGCATCTAATTCTCACAGTTTTGATGCTTAATGAAAAGTGAAAGTTAAACACAGCATGGTGGCATTAAAAATGCATGGTAAATCCATAGCACTCTGACATCTTAGCCCTGTAGAGAATATGCAGAAAACAAAAGAAAATTGTATAAAGCATAAAGCAAATGGATTAGAAGTTAAGATTCACTACCATGAGTTGCTAAAAATGTGAAACTGAAAAGTATAAACTTGGGGTGGGGAAAACACTCCCTACCCCCCATCCTGAGAGTCCAGTCCACAGGATGGGAGCCCAGAAAAAGGATGCCTTAGGGAAAATTTACATTTGAATGAAGGTTTTCTAATGGTTAGCATGTTCAGAGGAGGCAAGTAGTTGGAGGAAGGAGAAATAACATTCTATATGTCTCCCTTGGCCTCCTTTATAGTAACACCAGTTGGCTTTTGGGAGAACTAAAACTGATTCTTTTCAGAAGTAGATGAACATCTAGTATGAGGTAAAGGCCTCTACCCACACTCTGGGGGTGGGGAAATGGGATAGGTCTTAGTGTTTCTAAGAATCTTCAGCTTAGAGAATTTCTTCCTTATAATTTGGAGAGAGAAATAAGTCAACCATTTTGCTTGAAACATTCTATTATCAATTTTTTAAAATACTGATTTGATACTAGGAAAAGGATGTTATTTTCATCCTTTGAAATTGATTTCAATGATATGCATTGTTGAATATACTACTCTTTATATCGCTACTACAGTCTACATCTACATCTATATCTACAGGAAAGAACATTGGATTTGATATCAGAGAACCTGGGTTCAAATCCTTGTTTTGTCACTTAGGTGTAACCTTAAAAAAGACACTTGATTTCACTTAGTCTCAGCTTCCTCATCTGTAAAATGAGGGGTTGGACTAAATGGTCTCGGAGATCCCTTCTAACTTTAAATCTGTGACCCAATGATGTAGGATGTAATATGAAATTTATACTCAAGGTTACAAAAATCATGTGATTTTTCCTATTATCCATAGTTTGTTGGTTTTTAGAGTCTTTAAAATAGATCAAGAACTCTTAATAAGGTCTTTTGCACTTCATCGCTTGATGAAAGCTTTATTTTTCCAAATAGTGAAGCTTATGCATGTTTTCAGATCCCCACATACATATATAATTATGTATATGTGTATGTATATGTAAAGTATATGTATATGTATACATATATGTATGTATGTGTAATAATATGTATAATAATATAATTATACATATAAAGTATGTGGGGGAGCAAAACAGAACCACAAAAGGTGTTCCAAGGCTACCCAGAGAAAACCATTTCTTACAGCACACTGCAAATAAACCTTAATTGGTTTTATAAATCATATTAGAAATAACTAAAGTGTGACTTGCTATGGATCTGCATGAAAACAGATTAAGGCTGGGTGTGTAGAATCGTTCTAGAATTATTCTTACTCAAACTCATAGTGGTTATCTATTTAATCTGGAATAGTTTTACCATTAAAATACATGAAATACATACTGAGACTTCATGTCATAGCAAGAGTTCCAGTAGTAATAGATTTAGGGCAATGTTGACCATCGTGACTCTCTTTGTCTACAGTAAACTGGTTTAGGCAATTCAGGTTAAGAAATACAAGCAGATAAAGCATGTTTTTATTTTGTTCATTCATTTATCTATCTACAATCTACAATCTATTCATCTATTTACTTATGTATTCTCTTTCTCTCTCTCTCTCTCTTTTTCTCTCTTTCTCTCTCCTCTCCTCTCCTCCTCTTGTTAATTGGCAAAAGCTATCCTTGGAACAATGAAAGGGACAAACATAACAGGTTTATATTGCAAGATCATTGACTCTTTGAATGAGCCCCTAACTTACATTGCAACTTCTAGAGTAGAAGTTATGGCACATGATAAAAAGCTGCCACAGAAAGGAAAAAGTTTACCTTTCAGAAAATTATTTTGGAACTGAAAAGGGTTAGCTGAACTTTTCATTTTTCTGTCAGTTCCTTTGACATTGTTGTAGACATGATACAACAGTTAAAAGAGATAAAATATCCATTTCTGGTTTCTGAAAGTCATCATTCTAAATAGATACTGGCATTACATGCACAATAAAAATATTCTACTTATAATAAGTTATCCTAAGGTCCTTTAAATATAGAAACTCCAATGTTTTAACATTTGTCAGTGGCCATATGTTTCAGAAAGCAAATTTGCAGTCCATCAGTCTATGAATACCTTATTGGGACATTATGGCAGGGATATGATTTAAATATACAATGTAGTAAAAAAGAAAAAAAGAAAGTGAAATATTCTCTAAAATTTACAAATGCATGCTTATGTGTCATAATCTACCCATAACACTCCATTTTTAAAATAAAATTTGATTGGTAGCTTTTGTTTTTACATTACCTACATTTTCCACCATATGCTCCCCAGTAATAAATAATAAAAAAAGAAGAAAAAAGTTCAGCAAACCTAAGCAACATGGTGAAAAAAAGTCTGACATTACATGCAATGTTCCACACCCATGGTCACCCATCTGTGTAAAGACATGTGGAGAACGTGCAGAGAAGTGTCTTCTCATTTCTCTTTTTTAGAGCCACGTTTGGCCATAATAATTTTACAACATGTAGTTTCAGTTGTTTTCTTTTTCTTGTTTTTCTTGGTGTTTCCAATTTATATTTTTGCAGTCATAGTATCCATCACTTTCCTGATTCCATTTCACTTAGCATCAGTTCATAAAAGTCTTTTTATGTTTCTCTGTATTCACCATTACAGCACAGTAATATTCGAGTACATGAATGTACCACAATTTGCGCAGCCTTGCTGCAATCAGTGGGCATTTGTGCTATTTCCAGATCTTTCTTAGCTACCACACAAAGTACTTCCTTAAATATTTTTTGTGTACATGAGGTCTTTTTGTCATTGTCCTCCTTGGAGCATATGGCTAGCAGTAGACTCTCTGGGGCAAAGGATATGGACATTTTATGGACACTTTGTTCACATAATTCCAGATCGTTTTTTAGAGTAGTTGAGACTAATTCACAGAGCCACCAATAATTCATTAGTGTGCCTGTCTTTCAGTGGCCCCTCCAACATTTTGCAACACTTTTAATGCATTTTATAAATATACACAGAAAAATCAGTTTCTCTATACAAAGACAATGCCATGGTTCACTGGCTTTTATTTAAAGAGAAGAATGGTATTGGAGATAGAATACTGGACTTGGATTGAAGAACACCTGACCTTAAATCCTGCTTTGATACTTAATCACTATATGACTCTATCAAAGTCACTTGACCTCTCCCAGCTTTAGTTTCCTTATGGGTGAAATGGAGATAATAAAATCTGAAATGCCTACCACATGGTGCTGTTGTGAGACTTAAATAAGACCATGTATCTATAGTGTTTTATAAAAATAACAACCATTACAGTGCTATATTAAATCAATTATTTTAAAATCAAATTGGTATTACTAACTTGACTTGGGCATTGAAGAGAACAGGTCCTAAATAGTCCAATGACTTAATTAGCTTTATGTATTTGCAAAAGATTTTTTCCTGGATATATGTATATATATCACGCGTGGGTAAGAGCAATAAGAAACATTATGTTTCATATATCTATATAAAACAAAATCTGTAAAAAAAAATTTTGTCTCCACACATTTTTTGAAGGAATTTTTAAAGTTCTTAAGAATAGTTCCTCTACTGCCCCTCCAAAAAAGACATACTATCCATAATCCAGTAAGCATGTTTTGGTCTTTCAGTGGAATTTATAGTGTGCATGCCAAGTTAAAAAAGAGTCTGGGGGAGAAAAACAGAAGGAAATGTTAGAGAGATCATTTCCATTCACTCTCACCTTCATTCCATACTCATTACAACTTCATTTTCCTAGGCAGGGCTTTTGAAGAAGATGCATGGCAGTAGAAATCCTAAGCCACTGCTGCACAGTGCACTAATATTGGGAGGAAGAACAGCAAAAGAAAGCAAGGAGACACTGCAGGGCTAGGCTGAAGCAAATCCTAAGTGTCATGGTATAATTATTGATAGCTAGAAACCAATGGCAACCACCTATGTTGGTATGCAGTGATCTTATCATCTCAAAGTAGGCTTCTCTTTTGAAGGAAAAATATTATGCTCCATATGAGCTGCAGTTCTGAATCTACAGAGGCAGGAGGCAGTGTGGAATGGACTGGGGGGTCCTTCATGAGTCTTTTTAGTTATATGATCTGTAATGTAAATGTTTTGCCCATGAGCAACTTATAAATGACTTCTGGGAAGTGTGTAACCAATTGGCTTTCCCCACATGAGTTTGATAAAAAATTTTATGAGGAAGGAATGAAAATGTATAGCACAAGTTAAGTCAATATGCCCCTAGACTTCAGATTTTACCTTATAAGGTTTTCTTCACACAAGCGCTATGTGCATGAACTAGTCGAGACTTTCAGGAAACTCAATCCCTTTTGCTACAGGAAATACAGTACAATGTAATTTTTCAAGCAGCAATCAAAGTTTGGAACACAATGAGAAGATATTTACCATTCTTATCCATGGAGTTTGGTTCTGACTGCTTCTTGCCAATGTCAGCAAAAGATCGAACAATAGGAATCCTGTTGGTCAGCTTTTTCTGGTTCTGATGGTGATGCTGTTTCATCAGAGCTTCATGGACTCTGTGGCGGATGTCCTCACTGAGCTGCCCAGAGCTTACTTGTTGGTCAAGAACCATGTCTGAAGAGAAGAGACAAGCAACCCTGTGAAAAGCCTTAGCCCACCACCGTTCATATCACGTGATTGTAGACTGCATCCTTTGAATCTAAAGGAAAATATACAAAGTCTTAGTACTCTCATTAAATTAGGAAGGAATTATTTCAAAATTTCCAACTTTATTTGCAAAAATCTGTCTTCCCTTCAAGGAACTATTGAACAATACAGGTCAGACAATTTCCAAATGTATGGCATATAAGAAATGTTTTAAGTTGCAGACCAATATATGGGATAGAGAATGTGCCTTGAAGGCAAGAATATCTGAATTCGAACTCTGCCTCTAACTCATTCTAGCTGTGTGACCATGGGCAAGTCATTTAACATCTCAATGTTCCAGGCAATTTCCTAAGAGTCCAAGTTACAGATGTGTTACAGATCTGTATCAGTGTCAAGAGATATCCAATTGGGAGTTTCCCACAGTGATGAATCATATACACAAACTCCATCCCAACTCTCCACAAGAAATAGAATTGTTCAATAGTTTTACTGAGCAAAATGGTTCTACCGAGAAAGTGAATTCATATCTCAATCATCCCCAGTAATGGCAAGGAGTAAGCTAATAAAAAAAGATGTGTATTTGGCTTTGGAGAGTGTTATTGTATTTACGCTATAATATGGATGTATCTCATGTTCAATTGACTTCAGACCAAATAATGAAGACACACTGCGAAAACCTGACTCAAGAGGAGCTGGGAAGATGCCCAGTTATCCCAACAATACGGGGACTAGTCATCTCTCTCTTGCTGATATAAGTTTGTCTTCTCTTAAAATATTCCTGCAGAAATGTTTGGGTTTCAAAGAGCTTCTGGGATGGCAAAACAAATTAAAAAAAAGGTGAGGTGCCAACAAATCTGTGTAATTAAGACATAAATCCTTAGTGTAAATAATGAGTGTCAGAGCCGTCAGCAAAGGAAGTAGTTAGTGGTTTAGACCTGAGAAAAAAAGGTTTTCTACAGGAGACATCAATTTAGATACTTTATTGATAAATAATTTCCAAAATTATCATATTTGGTTCATATTTTGGAGGAATACTAACTTCCTTCTTGGCAGAACAGTAATTTGATACATTACAGTGTGGTTAATTCAACAAATGGCCTTCATTTAAAAATTTCATTAATTTAATACTAAGTGCCTGCTATGTGTAAGGCACTTATTAAGCGCTTACTCTGTGCCAGGCATTATACTAGACTCTAAGGAGAAAAAGACAAAGGAAACAGTCTGACCTCAAGGAATTTGCATTCAAATAGGGAGAGAGGAGAAAGGGACTTGGTGATTTAATTGACAGAAGGAATGGGATGAAGAAATTCCCTATACTAACGTAGGTCAGCGCCTTCTCTGCAACTCATAGTCATAGACTCTATGACATAGTGAGTTGTCCAGGGCACTGAGATTATGAGAAACAGTCAGGATGTATTAGACTTGAACCTAACTCTTCTTGGCGCCAAGGCCAACTGCCTATCCACTAGTCATGGCTGCCGGGTGAGATGCAACATGTAAATGGATAAATACACACAAGGGGATTTGAGGAAGGAAAGACCATTAGCGACTGGTGGAGAGAATTTTATGGAGGAAATGGTGCCTTAGTTGAGTCTTGAAGAGAGGGATTTTAAAGAGGCTGAGATGAGAAAGGAGTTTATTCTAGGTACAAAGGATGGCTTGGGAAAATACTCCAAAGTATGAAGGCAAGGTATGGATTGGAGAGAGAGACTTTGAGGTAGATGTTAAACTCCTTGAGAAAGGAAGAACAGTGAGTTACAGGCAGGTAAATCACAATAAGGATAACTACATCTAGCATTTCTATTGAACTTTAACGTTTGTAAAGCACCTTACAAATAAATATTATCTCATTTTATCCTTGCCATAACCCTGGGAGATAGCTGTGATTATTATTCTAATTTTTGCAGATGAGGAAACTGAGGCAGACAAAGGTTAAGTTATTTGCTCAGAGTCATACAGTGTCTAGGGCTGGATTTGAACTCAAGTCTTCCTGACTCCAGGTCTAGCACTTACCTACTGTCCAACCTAGTTGCAGGATCTGGACCAGATGATATAAATGGAAGGAGGAGTGATGGCAAGGAGAAAGTATGGAAGTGGCATGTTTTCTCCTTCTCCCTTTCCATCGTGTCAAGGAAATGAGAGAATAAGCAACCAGCAATGGAGAAGGTGGCTAGGGATATACCATCTTCCAGAGAATGCCAGAATTCTGTGAATACCAGATGCTGGAAAGAATGTGGAAAAGAAGAGATTGAAGATGAAGGGAAGTGTGTCAATGAGTTATTCTAGAGGTCACAAAGGGCAGGGGAGGAAAAGGACTAGAGAGTGGTAGGACTGAGCAAAGTAGAGAAGAGAGTCTCAAGCTAGCAGAAGGACCTTTTAGTACTGGAAGGTACAAACTGAATCACTGATAGGGGAGAAGTAAGAGCTGCCATAAATGTTAGTTGGTTGGGACCTTTACCTCCAGGATCCTATGATGATGGTGTTCACATTGTTGTAGTGTTTCCTTGCTAAGCATTGTTGAACTAGAGTTGGTGATGACAAAGAGTCCAGGGTCGAGATCTAGGACCTCAGGAACTGGACTGAACTCACATGTTACTAGCTCATAAACTACATTTCAAGATGAAAATAATATGGTGAACTCAGATGATACCCCACATTCAGAGTAGGCATACCAGAGTTCCATAATACAAACTGCAAGTTTTTAAAAAATTCATTTCAATATTTCATAAACAAGTTGTTTTTAATATTTAAAATTTTTGTTTTATACATATTTTGACATGTGTCCTCTGGTGAGTCAAGGAAACAAGATCTCTTGTTTTCTACTTCCGTATTATTTCTCTCCTGGCCCAGATTCTTGCGCTCAACAGACTGTCAGTGACTATCCCAGCCCTCTTTTCATTTATGGTGAAAAGGTTGGGGATCCAGAGCCATGATGGAAATAGGTGCTGCTCTGGTTCCCATATTTTGACTTCAGAAGTGCCTGTTATGTAAAGGAAAATTCTCTGGAGTTATTGGAAGACTAGGTATGAGGCCTGGTATTCAAGGACCTGATGGTTTCAGTGTTCAGTGTGGTATGTGAGGCCTTGGTTAGGGTGGTTCTAGGTCTTTGCTTCAAGTTCCAATCTTTCTGTCTCTAGTTGTGGTGTCTGAAGGTTGGGGAGGGCTTGTTCCTTCTAATGATTGAGAAAACATAGGAACAAATGATAGGATCAGAAAATTATGCATATCCGACTGTCCCAAATATTTTAAAATTAGCAACATAGTCACTTTCACCAATGTGCTTTATTTTCATCACTGTAGGATAAGTTGTGTGTGTGTGCATGAACTTTTATCCTTTCTACATTTCTACTACATAAAGCAGTAATTGCTGTTTTGATATTTTATATGGGCTGAATAGGCTAATGATAAATGTTTAAATTTACATTCCACTGGGCATTTCTTTTTCTAGTTTGTTGTAGGTGATGATTCCTTTTGCAACTATTTATTATATGAGGCCTGATTTAGTCTTCATGAAAGTTTGTGGTCAATCAGCATATGGGAAAATGTACTAGAATAACCATGCACTTGATTCCATTTAACTGAAGTATTCATAGAAAGTGGTATTTACTTTGTGAAAATAAGGTAGTTTCCTCAATAAAGTACCAGGCATGATGTGAAATGTTAGAGATAAGTGATACAGTTCTTGCCCTCAAGGAATTTACATGGTGGGTGGGGAGGCAATGCATCTAAATACACATACGTATATGCACGCATACATGCATATATGCACGCATGCATATATGACTGAACAAAATGAATAAAGGTCACTTTAAGGGGGAGAGCCTAGCAGTTGGAGGAATTCATGTAGAGCGTAGCATTTAAGCTGAGTTTTGAAGGAAAAAAAATTGGAGGGGAAGATCAAGTTCACACCAGCCATGACTGACAGCTAGTGCACAGTTGCATAGGCAGTCGGATTGTGATGTGACAGAAACATCCAATGACACATAGTTCAAATGAGGCTCCAATGTAGTTAGTAACTTTGATACATGTGGGCAGCTAGGTGGCACTGTGGATAGAATACTGAACCTGGAGTCAGGAAGACCTGAGTTTAAATCCAGCCTCAGACACTTCCTAGCTGTGTGACTCTGGATAAGTCACTTAATCCTATATGCCTCCGTTTCCTCATCTGTAGAATGAGCTGGAGAAGGAAATGGCAAACCACTCCAGTATCTTTGCCAAGATAACCCCAAATGGGGTCACAAAGAGTCACACATGATTGAAAAACAACTACACAAAAACTCTGTTACATATTAATGAATTCCCCACCCCCCACTCAATTTCTGCTAGAGATAGATTCAAAGCTTTCTCTTTTCCTCAGGCTTAAGCATGAGAAAAACCTGTAAATCGATACTTCCGGTTTCTCAGGGCTAACATCTCCAAGTGCATCCCTAAAGCACCTGATTTGAAATCTGTTTACTCAAGAGAAGGCAAATATAAATGATGGTTCATTTATCCATCTGTCTCACACATAAGCACTCATTAAACTCCCAAGGCCACTATGGCAATACTTCACTAAATGCTACTCTAGGGAAATGAGCAAGTTAATTGCCTCATTTAAGTCCTTAACTTACTACCTAGGTATGACTTAAGCACGGGAGAACATCTGACTCATTAATTTCTTACATCACTTTCTTCACCTTCAAATATTATGGTAACAGCCTTGAAGAGTAGGAAAGGATAATGGACCATAATGGTTCTGGGCATGGTCTCAAGTCTTACAAGCTCAGTGTGCCATGATACTTAAAACAATGTACTTTATCCTGCCAAAATACAATGCCAGTTTGTGGGCAGTAAATGAAGAGGTAGGAAGAAAAAAGCATAAACAGATCACATGTGCCTTGGAAAACAGATTCAAACTGAAAGATGGTAAGGCTTACAAAGGCAAACAGCAGGGTCTAGAGAAACGAGGAGCATTTGTACAAAAAATA